GCTGCTATTAACAGCTGGGCGGCAGGGGGCGGGGAGGAGGGGTAGAAGAAAATGGTCCATTCCCAGGGAATCAGCAACTCCCTTTCCTCTTCTGGCCAAGGAGGAATCCAAGGGCCACAGCCACAAGAGAACAGCAACCACCTGCTGGGAGCAAAGGTCTGGCCTTGCAGGAACCATGCACACCTCTGCCAGTACTGCTGCCCTGGCATTAATTCCAGGGTGGAAAGAGGAGAGGTTTTGCCAGAGATTCTCTGGGAGGATTCCCCAGCACAGTCCCATGGGGGAAAGGGGACACATGGGAATGAATGCCTAGTCATCCCCTCACCTTTGACTCAATTCCAATTTTCATGATGGTCCCGGACACTGTCAAGACATCACTCACAACCAGCAGGATGTACCAGCCATTCACAAACTCCATGCGGTCTGACAGGCAGACGTCCTGGTTGTAGCGTCTCTGAAAGAAATGGCCCAACTCCTGCAAGCAGAATGGAAAGAGGTAACAGAACTGCCACAAGGACACAGCTGCTGAGGCAGGGGGCTGAGGCAGACTCCCCAAGGATATCTGATTTGGAAAATGGCTGCTAGGCAGAGAAGCCTCTAGTGGGAGCAGCAGGGCCCCATCCCCCAGAAGTCTCACACTTGCAGAGGAAGAAGTAGACAAAGCCAACCTACCAGCTCTGCCCAGTGCTCCAGGAGCATAAGATTTCCACCCAGCTCGAAATAAATTCATATTTGCCTTTCTGACCAGGTCAGATCATCACATTTCTAACTTCACTGATCTGCAGGGCAATTCAGCTGGATGCACCAGTCTCTGACAGCTCCATCTTGGATTGGTGGTACCCTCACAACAGCCACGCCGAGATACCCACATCCCTCAGGCTTATGCAGTAGTTGTGTGCCCCAAGGCATTCCACCCTTCTGCCTGTGAGACCTGCCTTCAATGGGGATTGCTGCAGTAAGCACAGATTTATACTCAAGCAGAGATCCATCCATCTTGAGACTGCAGGGGTGCATGGGGCTGTGCTGTCAGAACCTGATGTTTGCACCCAGTTGAACTCCCAGCGTTAATGCTATCAGCGCAGCATGCCTGGCCAGTTCTCACCTGCTGCAGCATCAGGCCCCGGATGATGGAGCGAGCACACAGGATGAACGACAGCACACAAACAAGGATCACAGCCACATCGAAGAACACACGGAAGGTGTTGTCTCCTGGAAGAGGCAAAGGGTCCCCTCAGCAAGGTAATACTAGGGCAGCCAAATGGAGCCCAGTGCAGTGTGGGAGAGCCCCAGGGGAGGAGACACAGGTAAAGAGACAGGCTCCTCCGCAAGAGCTGAACACTCAAGGGTCAGAGAATGGAGCCAATGATGCCAGGAGCCCACATGCAGCAGCAGCCTAAAGTGCCCTGCAGAGAGCAGCCACCACCAGCAGTCTGCTAGACAGCAGGGTGGAGCCAGTCCTGCTCTGATCACAGAAGTGGCCCATGGTCTTTCAGGGACACCTGTCCTGAGTCACATCACCCAGAGACCACTCCAAAGGTACTAAACAGATCCCCCCACCTGCCCAGATTGTCCCCTGGCAGAAATCTATCTGAAGCCTTCTCACCCAGAGATGAGGTCACATTTACTGTGAAGGGGGGATGTCTAGAAAGGACAGGCCTTCATGGTGCACCGCAGTGCCAGTACAGCTGCACAAATGCTCATTTCAGCAGGGGTGGAAAGGGGCAGAGTGCCCCGTTCTGTCTGCCCTGCCCAACCCCTACCTCGGCCATAGACGCTGGGATCCTTGCACTCTTTAATGTCAGCTTTGTTGTCCAGGCTGATCTTCACCCGGCCACTGTGTGCCTTGTTGTCAAACGTGATCTGATGAGGACAGAGGAAGACTGCTACTTCACAGCACGGAAGGGCTGGGGTTGCCAGGAACCCCTCTGGCTAGATAGTCCTCAACAGCCCCACTTCACCTCTGAGCTCTCCCTCCCCTATTGCACTCCTCCTTTGCAGAGTTGCATGTGCCAGCAGCACTGACCCTGTGGCAGAGAACTCGCTCAGCTAGCCCCTTGGGCTCTTCTGGCTCTCTGGGAAGAGTCCTTGGCTCAGACTCATGAGCCAACTACAGTCCAGCATCTGCACTGGCTCTACAGGGCTACAGGAATGAGCAGCAGCAGACTTTGCATTCTCTAGAATCAGCACATGGCACTGTGGATCAAGGACAATTTTCACAATTGTTTTCCTGCTTGATACAACACCCACTGGAACTGCCCCAAGGCCAGAAACCTTGGCCTGCTCCCCAAGACCCTCCTCTTATGTCCTGGCAGTTCACCACCTTAGAGACACAGCCCAAGGAGCTACCCTCCGCTTGTGTGGTATTGCAGCCTGATTCATTGCCCTGGAGCACAGAGCTGGGAGGAATTCAGCCCAAGAGCAAGTGCTCCCCCAACAGCAAGAACAAGCAGGCTGTGGAGTGGCCTTCCCAGAAGGCAGTACAGTCTAACGGGGCTTGTCCATCTCTCGTGCTTCCCCCAGGCAGCTGCAGCCATTGTGGAGTGAGTACTGGCTATGTATTTCTCTGGCACAGGCGGGACGTGTGCAGTCCTGGCTGAGAGCTGGGCCAGGGTTACTCACAGTGATGGTGAAGGTGTAGCAATCCGGGATCTCATTATTAATGATCGTTTGGATGTTGATAGCCTTCAGTTTAAACTGGATGGTGACATTAATGAGCCTGTAGAAGACAGCAATCAGACTAATGCTCCAATGGGAGAGCTGTGCATCACAATAAGAAATTCTGCATCATACAGCCCCTTTCAGCCAAAATCTACACCTTAAGAAGCAGGTGTTGGGCCCAGTTTACAGATTGGGAAATGGTGATGCAGTGACTTAGCCGAAATCACTGAATCAGTGGCAGAGCCAGAAGCAGAAGCCAGAATTCTGACTCACTGCTCCATCCAATTAGTAACACTGCCTTGGTTTCTCATCAGGTGATGTCTTCACACTGCAGCAGTATGGCTTAAGCTAGTTAACCTAGTATAGCCCCAGCCAACATCCGAGGAGCAGTTCAAGCAACTAGCTTGAGCCACCACCCAGGCCATGGCAGTCATATAGTTATTTTTAGTGTGTCAGCTTGAGTAGTGTGCATGCACACCTCCCAGTGGCAGTGCAGAGGTACCTTAAAAGCAATGCTATGAATGTAACTGTGAAGTCCCCAGATTTAGCAGCATGTTGAATAAACGCTGGAGAAGTGGAATTTCTTGTAGACAATACAGCAACGACACCACTGAGCTAGTGTAATCCACACACCTAGTGGGTGTGGTTCACTGTTCCATGTAGTGGCACTTAGACCACTTACAGCAAGAGATAAGAATGAGTGAGCTCTACAGCCTAAGGTAAAAAGCAGTTGGCTTTATAGCTCAAACTGTAGAAACTCTGACACTAAGCTCCAAAAGTCCCAGGTTCAAATCCACCTGCAGGCGGTTACACTAGCACAGGCTGGGGCAGGCCCCAGAGCTCACACAAGAAGGGGAAGAGGGACCCATAAAGAACAAAAACAGCTTGTTCAGCATTTCAAAGCCCAGCTAGGCAGCCTGCCCATGTTCAGCAGCTCCTAAGAACTCTTACAAGAGCAGGGTCTTTTCAGGATACTGAGCTGTTTTGTTTAACTAGGGTGTCTGGTCTGTCAGTCAACCTGCCCACCTGTCCCTCTGAACTCAGTCCAGCCAGTCAGCAGGCCAGCACATCTGTCTCCCCACCAGCACCCAGTTCCAACAGCCAGCCCACCCTCCTGTGTTACCTCTGCCTCCAACTCAGCCCAGGCAGCCAGCACCCCTGTGTTCCTCCATGACTTTACCCTGCCACGGAGCCCAGCCACTTTGTCTGTCACTCTCTCATCATTCTCAGAACCAGGTTGCCCCACTGAGAAATGTGAAGATTGTTCTTGCAGTTTCATCCCCGCAGCTGGTGGGGGGAGAGGGGAGGATGAATTGCTGCTTTCACTCAGTGATAATTCAGCTTGGTCTAGCAGATAGAGCACCAGGCTGGGACTCTGCCACTGGCCTGTTTGATGACCATGGCAGTCACTCCCCTTCCACACCTGGTTCCCTTCTGTCTCTCTCTTGTCTACTCAGATTAGGCTTCTGAGGGCAGGGCTGTGGCTCACTTGGCATCTTCACAGCATCTGTTCTGTGATGGCAACTGAGCAACACTGAAGTGGGGGGTGGTGCCAGCTCAGCCGGGCCCACAGGAGCAAGTCAGATGTATATGTACTTGGGGAACTGAGCTGTGTCCTGTGAAGCCCAGGCTGTGACGCTCCCCCTCTGGTTGAGGAAGTTGATTCATCTATCTGGAATGGGGTGCACTAGGCCCTGAGGTCCCTGTGACGGGCCCCTGCCCATGCTTTATGAAATGGACTTATGGACATAAATATACCTAACTCAAAGGTGCTTTAAGCAAATTATTCCATGTAGCCTAACAATCTTTATGTTGCAATCCACTGCTTCTGTTTATCTTATTTTGGTATTATGTATCACTCTTGTGTGTAAAATTAGACATATGGGGTAGGGAATGGAAAGACAGCAAGTGGGCATCAGTGTTTGGGCAATCATATGCAATTAGCCTTTTGTCCTTAAGTCTTAGCAGTGGTTGGTAGGGAACAGACAGGTGACTCCCCATGCAATAAGGGAATTCTTTAAAAAGAATAGGAAGGTAAGAGTCTTTTGTCTTTGGGCTGGCTGGACACACCTGAGGAGGGTGAACCAGAGACCTCAGAAGAAGTGAAATTTCCCTGGTTTTGGAGGTGCAGCTGGAACAGAAGCAGTTTTAAGGTGAGTTTATAAGAAGTTTGTGCTGAGAATTTGTGTGTTAGAATTAGCTAAGCATATTCCGATACTTTTGATTTGTAATCTACTTTGCTCTGCCTGTTCTGACTTATTACCACTTAAATCCTGCTGCTTGTACTTAACAACATTACTTTTACTTACTATCAAGCCCAGTGTAAATGATTGTTACCTGGAGGGCAACCAGTATGTACATTCCCCCTTTCACTGCTAAAGGGGACTTACCCAAATAATTCATTGGGGGATTTCATCCCATTTGGGGAGTGGTATCCCAAGAAGCTGGGCCCAAAACTGCACTCTCCTTGGATCTGAAGAGGTTCGGGGAAGGGGGGGCACTAATCTCAGCATGGGGCCTTGGCTGGGGGAGACCCAGAGTGAAGGGTGGGGCTGGGTCCCCACCCAATCCTCATTTTCCACTGGAGGAAGAGGCCTGGACTTTAAGACACGCCAGAAGGGGAACTGAATTGTTGCAGCCCAGCTGAAAAGTTATGGCTGGTGCCCCTGCCATACCCCTCCCCAGAAAAGAACAGTAGAGAGGTCATCTACTGAGTTGCCTAAAGTGACTTTGTGAGAAGCAACCGATCATGGGCCAGCAGGTCAGTATAAGAAGAGCTGCAGAGCCAAAGCAAGAGTAATTCCTTGCTAGAGCTGGAATAGAGCAGATGGTGCTCTGGGCTGGCTGATGGGACTCCACCAGAACAAGGCCCTGAGTTAAGGTGAAGAACGTGCTGGAGCCATGGGGAAGTGACCCAGAGAATTATAGCAGCAAGCAGTTAGAGAGGCATCGCAGGCAGCTGCTATCTACAGGATCCCTAGACTGGGACCCAGAGTGAAGGGTGGGGCTGGGTCCCCACCCAATCCTCATTTTCCACTGGAGGAAGAGGCCTGGACTTTAAGACACGCCAGAAGGGGAACTGAATTGTTGCAGCCCAGCTGAAAAGTTATGGCCTTTCTGGCCACAAGAGGGTGAAGAGTCAGAAGACATTGCCTCCAGAAAAGGACCTTTATTGACACAAGACAAACTGCGAGGCCTCCCCCAGGGCTGTTGAGACCTGTTCCCACTGTCACAAACAACCTTGATACAATTGCATTCAAACGCGTCCAGCTCTCTGTCAAAACTTATCAAGTTTTTGCCCCTGCAACTCCTATTGGGAGACTGTTCCAGAACCTCACTCCTCTGGTGGTTCCCTTGGAAAGAGAAGTGACCTCAAGTCACTCAGGCCTCTCTACCCCTCGTGCCTGGAGAGATAAGGCACTTACTTGTGAAACTTGAGTGTGAAGTTCCGGTAGCTGTGGTGGGGCTGCAGGGAGAGCTTCTCCACAGGCTGTGGGGGCCAGGGAATCCTCTCCATGGGGTCCACGCCCAGGCAGTCTGCAGAGGAAGGGGAGGATATTCTTAGAGAGCCAGCCCAGTCAGCCCCCACACACAGGGCCTGCTGTTCCTTCTTCCACCAGCAAGGAAACCCTCCCCCCACCCCACATGTGCATACACACACATACAATGGCACCACTTGCCACAGCAACAACTAGTCCCCCAAGATGGAGCAGAGAAGAAGGACCTAAGCCTGCTTTTCAAGCAAGAGCTAGAAGCTGGTCTAAGCCAAGCAACCCCTCACATGTTAACAGAGCACATTAACATGGCATCTACCCCACTGTGCCATGGGCAATCATCACAGGCTGGGTACAACAGACCATGCCTACTTAAAACATTCCCAGAAATGCCCCCCATCCCTGAGGCCAGGGCACGGCTCCAGGGAGCTCACCTGCCAATGGAGAGCTTCCCACCATCCCCCACCTTGGATTTAGCGTGAGCAAAGTCTTGGGTGCACTCTCCTTGCAAGGCACCAATGGAGCTATAAATCACTGGGGCTCACTCTGTCCCCACTGAGGTGCATGGATCCCTCCACAAGATGTGTAGGACAAGAGCCTAGATAGAGAAAGGGCACAGACAGCAAGACCAAGCTTTGCAAGGCATTGCCATCTTACCAACAAAACCCTCAGCTCTGCCATGTAGCCAATGCCTGCGGCCACCTCTTCAGCTGTCATGCAGCTTGGGCACCACATGACTCATCAAGCCAGGATGAGTGGGCAATAGCCAGCATCAGCTCATGGGACCCACAGAGAGATCCACCTGTGCCCTGCTAATCCACAGATAGCCACTTTAAAGCCACAGGTTATCTGCACCTGCAGATGCGGGTATCCACAGCTCATTTGTGCAGACGCAAATACAAATTTTGTACCTGGAAGGCTGCAAATTTGCAGATATCTGCTTTCTCTCCCTGGGTACCTGCATCCATGGGTGTTAATCCATGGCTCATTTTTGCAGATACAAGAGCCTGATTGTACTACAGGCACACAGAAGCACTGAGCAGCCTGGGGCTTGCTTACCTGTGATGATCTTGGGGTCAATGTTGAAAGTGTCATTGGCAGGGTCAATCTGTCCTTTGCGGTAGTACTGCTGGCACAGCATGAGGGCCGACTGGTTCCCACTACACTCCCCACGCACATAGGCATAGCGTCCAATAGTCTCGTTAGGGATAGCCAAGTACTGGGAAAGAAGGAGACTTTACCACCCTGCCCTAGAGACCCTAGTAATGCTCTGCTATGAGTCACAGAGAGCCCTCTGACCCAGCCCCGCACCACTCTGCTTATCCCAAAGACTCATGCCCTGAAAATCCAGATAGCCACAGATATCTGCATGCCACATTTGCAGGTCATAAGTAAATACAAATTTTGTATTCACACAAGACTCTACCAGCCTGCCTATGGCTCCCACGACCCCAGTGCTTTCCTCTCACCTTATCCACAGCATAGAACATGTGATCATAGAGGTCTCTCTGAGTATAGACAGCATATGTGTCCTCTGACCCATCCACATAGTCCTTCAGAAACAGGTGTTTGAAAGCAATGGTATTCTCCTCCTTGAATGTCACCACCATCTGATTGCTGAGCCCAAAGAGGATGAGCTGAAGAAGGGGAGAGGAGGATGAAACCAGCAGAGAATGCTGCCTCTGGAAATAGCTTATCATTGGAGTGTTTCATTCTGTAGCATCACAAGTGCCATTCACTCACATAGCCCCTGTGAGGCTCCTCTCTCTACAATGACGACTGCATCAGCCTTTCAAATATCACAATCTCCTCTCACTCAACTTAACACAGAAGCTCGTTTCTAGAATCACCACAACTACCTCATTGGCTAGAATATTATAAAATATATGGAGATATACCAATCTCCTAGAACTGGAAGGGATCTTGAGAGGTCATCAAGTCCAGTCCCCTGCCCCCATGGCAGGACCAAGTACCATCCCTGACAAATTTGCCCCAGATCCCTAAATAGCTCCCTCAAGGATTGAACTCACAACCCTGGGTTTAGCAGGCCAAATGCTCAAACCACTGAGCTATCCCTCCCCCATTAAGAGCTGGAGGAAAGAAGCAATGACTGACAATCATATCTGGTAGCAGTGGTGTGTTCTATGAGCTTCTACTGAATGGTACTAACACCATGGTGCATAATTGGCTGGATAACCGTAGTCAGAGAGTTGTTGTTAACGGTTCTAAATCCTGCTGGAAAGGGATAACAAGTGGAGTTCCTCAAGGGTCTGTTTTGGGACCCGTACTGTTCAATATCTTCATCAATGATGTAGATATTGGGATAGAGAGTACGCTTATTAAGTTTGCAGATGATACCAAACTGGGTGGGGTTGCGACTTCTTTGGAGGATAGGGACATAATTCAAAATGACCTTAGCAAGTTAGAGAAATGGTCAGAGGTAAACAGGATGAGCTTTAATAAAGAGAAATGCAAAGTGCTCCACTTAGGAAGGAACAATCAGTTCCATACATACAAGATGGGAAGCGACTGTCTAGGAAGGAGCATGGCGGAAAGGGACCTAGGGGTCATAGTGGACCACAAGTTGAATATGAGTCAACAGTGTGATGCTGTTGCAAAAAAAGCAAATATGATTCTAGGTTGTATCAACTGGTGTGTTGTAAGCAAAACTCGTGAAGTCATTCTGCCGCTCTACTCTGCACTAGTTAGGCCTCAGCTGGAGTACTGTGTCCAGTTCTGGGCGCCACATTTCAAGAAAGATGTGGAGAAATTGGAACGGGTACAGAGAAGAGCGACAAGAATGATTAAAGGTCTAGAGAACATGACCTATGAAGCCAGGCTTCGTGAACTGGGCTTGTTTAGTTTGGAAAAAAGAAGATTAAGGGGGGACATGATAGCGGTTTTCAAATATCTAAAAGGGTGTCACAAGGAAGAAGGAGAAAATTTGTTCCTCTTGGTTTCTGAGGACAGGACAAGGAGTAATGGGCTTAAAGTGCAGCAGGGGAGGTTTAGATTGGACATTAGGAAAAAATTCCTAACTGTCAGGGTGGTCAAATATTGGAATAAATTGCCAAGGGAGGTGGTGGAATCTCCCTCTCTGGAGATATTTAAGAACAGGTTAGATAGACATCTGTCAGGGATGGTGTAGATGGAGCTTGGTCCTGCCTTGAGGGCGGGGGGGCTGGACTCGATGACCTCTTGAGGTCCCTTCCAGTCGTATGATTCTATGATTCTATGGAGGACATGCCATTTGCAATAGTAGTAGTAATGGCATTACATTAGGCTATTGGGGTCTTGGAGCATGGAGATGGCTCCTCTCTCTACAATAAGCTTCCCTGTCATTGATACTTTTAGGAACAAAGTTGGCATCATCTTTGAGGAGAAAGCCACACTCCCTCCACGCTATGCCTTCTGCTTCCACGTAGCTTCCCTCCATCAATATTTGGGAAAGTGGGAAGCATCTGGAGAAAGGAGGACATTTCTCATCATAACCTCTGGTTGAGCAACTTCCTTGTGAAAATCCTCATGTCTGGGAAGGCCTCCCTCTGCAAGTAGCTCCTCTCCTAGATATGAAATGATGGAGTCTAGATCTTTAAGATGTTGGTAAAACTTGTCTCCTTTTGCTTCCAGTCCCCTCACTGGTCCTGTTTGGGTCAAGGTTTTTTCCTTCTCTCCTGCCTAGGTGTCTCCTTGCATTTCTGTTTCCCACCTATGCTCCCTCTCCAGAGCCATCCCTAGGGTATGGTATATTGGGGTAACCAATCCAGACCCACGCTTTGGGGGTGGGCCATCATGGAGTATCTGGCAGAGGGTTGGGGAAGGGAGGGGCTGAGGTGCCACAGGCAGGTTCTTGCCAACAGACTTAGTAGCCTGCCTGCCTGCAGAGCTAAAGGCTTGCAGAGCTTAAAATGTTTCTGCCTGCTCAGCCATGTGCTTGAGTGAGTGAGCGAGCAGGAGGATTGTGCTTTGTGGCTGCCTGTTATTCAAACAGGCAGCTGCCACTGACCAGTGTCTGTCCAGAAACTGGCCAATGGGATTGTGCTGGGAGTGGGAGCAGCATCTGAATCTTCCCCCCTCCTCTCCAGACTCAAAGAGAAAGTGCCCCACAGCTGCGTTTCTGAGCAAGGTGCAGGGCAAGCAGGGGAGCCTGCCTGGGGCTCCCCACTGCCTCTGCAGGCCGGATCCCGTGGCTTGGTGAGCCGTATTTTGCCCAGACCTGATTTATACCCAAGACTAAGCAGTACCCTAGGCTCCTCTCTACTAGGGATGTTAATAGTTAACCAGTAAACCTCACCTTAACAGGGAGGCTTTCCAATATGATTAATCAGTAGGCTAGAGCAACCCTCCACAGGCAGGGGGCTGCTTCAGCCCCACAGGGCCTGCCAAAGGCAGGAGGCTGCTACAGCCCAGCCAGAGCAACCTCCATTCACAATTTGGAGAGGGGGGAGGGGAAGACACTCCAGCCCAGCCAGGCAGGAGCACTCCTCCACCAGCTCCCCCATTATAATCGGTTAACTTATTAAAATTAACATATAACTGGTTAAACAATTAAACTGGATTTTACATCCCTCCTCACTACATAACAGGAGATAGAAGTTACAATGATGGAACCAGAATAAAATGGGCCGCAGGTGGCCACAGCTGAGAGTACAGTGCTTTTCTGGGCACGCCCTCATCTCCGTGCCCCCAGCCAGGCCCCACACACCTGGATGGTAACAATGATGATCTTGATGATTTGCAGCACCAGCTTGAAGGGTTTGCGGCCCTTGGCACGGAACTTGTCACACGGGCTCATGAAGAAGTACTTGAGGCGCCTGCGTAAGTCTTCCTCCTCAGGAAGGAGGGAGGCAGAGTCCACACGAGGCCTGGCCCCCACATCCTGAGATCCATAGGTATTCACAGGAGTCAGCAGCCTCTGTCTCTCTGGAGGATGGGAAGGGGAGAGAATAGTGAGAGGTGGAAGACAGAAATATAAATATAAGTCACCATGGCCTCAACTCACTGATACACTCCCTGCTCCAAACACTAGGAGAGATTTCAGATCCTGGCCAGGTTTAGTAAGCTTGCTCTCTTAGCCTGCTTCCTCCCGCTCTCACGCTCCAGCAAAGTGGTAGTGGTAGTGTCAGCCTAACTTACATAAGAATAACCATACTGGGTCAGACCAAAGGTCCATCTAACCCTGTATCCTGTCTTCCAAAAGTGGCCAATGCCAGATGTCCTAGAGGGAGTGAACAGAACAGGGAATCATCACATGATCCCTCTCCTATCATTCAACTTAATTCCAGTTTCTAAATAAAGATCTAAAACTGAGCAGAGAGTGGTTGGAGGGGGAGGGCAAGAAACACACCCTTCCATGGTCTCCGAGATGGGGGTGCAGCCTAAACCCCCAGTCTCAATAATTCTTATAACTGAACACTTCACCATCTATACATCCAAGAAAAATCCCTTCTTCTCTGTGACCTATCTGACAGGAGCATCATGGATCCAGCCATGTTGGCTCCTCAAATAAGTCAGACAAGACTGGCCCCGAGGATTTCTTACCAGGAAGGTGGTTTATTTACTCGCTGGTGGTAGCCTCAGCAATGACTTAGATACCAATTCTCCATGGATTGGCCAGATTATTTCATCTCTTCACAGGGTTTGGAAGAAGCAACACAAGATTATCATTTAAATGCCACCCAGAAAGTTGTCAGGTGCCCTTCAGAACCAGAAACAACTCAGGACCCTGCCCTAAGAAGCCTATACCCTAGCCTTAGACATGAGTGCAACAAACAAGGAGGGGACAGATAAGCATTACAGCAGCATGCTTAAGCAAGGTAACATCATCAACTTTAATAGGGCAACATTTGTGGGTGAATAGTGTGGAAATAATGTTTATAGTAGGGGGTTCTGAAAGCCACTGAACCAAACTGTAAACACTGTATATAATGGAAAAGACTTCAAATCAGGAAGTGCAGGAGCACCTCCAGCACCCCTAGTTCCAGCACCCCTAGTTCCAGCACCTATGCGTAGGTGACAGGAGAAACAGGGCCTGGATAAAGTATACGGGAGCTCTGGATGAGGAGGGGGCTGAACACATTAAAAGGGTTACAATGGAATTTCCAGTTCCTTCATTTAGCAGGAAGAGTTGATGCAATTCTGCTCATCACAAAGATTTAGACTTAGCTTGGGAGCAGACAGAACAGCACAGACAGACAGGGCTGCGCATACAGAATGTGAGCAATGATACACCCTCAACTGGTTAACATTTGGTCACCCAAGGACCTGGCCACACAAGCTCTGGAGAAACATGGAAGTTATGGGAGTCTGTGTGTCCTTTTATGGGGTTCAGGGTCACATGATACACTCTGATCCCAAAAAGCATGTCAGGCCTTTGGCCTCACAGAAGCTTTAGGGGCCTCCTTCAACTCTCCTGTTGTGGCCATAGCAAAGTAACCAGCCAACAGAGCTAGACACACTAACTGAACATTTCACTGCTGCCTTATGTATGGAAGATGCATCTCTGCAAGGTAACTCTGTTAGCATGGGCTAGACCCTAGGGATCTGCAGATACTACTTACAATTCATTTACGAACACAGATGAACTTTGAACTCCATGGTATGCAAGACACTAAGGCACTAACCCACATGTGCCAGCTCCTGCAGAGGTGCCTGCTCCACATAAGAACGACCATACTGCGCCAAACTAAAAGTCCATCTAGCCCAGCATCCTGTATTCCGACAGTGGCCAATGCTAGGTGCCTCCAGAGAACAGAACAGGGAATCATCACGTGATCCCACCGATTGTCCATTTCCAGCTTCTGACAACCAGAAGCTAGGGACACCCTTCCTACTCATCGTGGCTAATAGCCATTGATGGATCTGTCCTCCATGAATTAATCTCTCTCTTTTTTTAACCCTGTTAAAGTCCTGGCCTTCACAACATCCTCTGGCAAGGAGTTCCACAGTTTCAATGTGTTATATGAAGTAATACTTCCTTTTCCTGTTACTTTTTAACTTCATTTGGAAACCCCTAGTTCTTATATGATGGGAACAATTACTTTTCTGTGTTCATTTTCTCCACACCAGTCATAAATTTATAGATCTCTATCATACCCTCCTTAGTCTTTTCTGAGCTGAAAGTCCCAGTTTTTTAGTCTACAGAGGCAGAAGCACAGGGAGGAGGAGGAGGGCAGATGGAAGCTGGTACACACATGGAGCTAGCTTTCAAGCCCACTCCCCATCCATACCAGCTCCCGACAAGCTGACTGCCCCCACCCCCATGCTGCTGTTTGTGTTTCAGATACAGCAGCACAAAATTGGGGGGGGAGGGGAAGGCAGGCACTGGTATGCATGGAGAGCCAGCTTTTAAGCTGGCTCCCCATGCGTACCTACTCTTGTGGAGCCACCTGCCCTCTCCGCCCCCGCCCCCCACATACACACTGTTGCCTCTGATACAGAAGCAGCAGCAGGGGACAGAGGGGGGAGAAGGAGAGGTGGTACCATTCTTCCCACAAGCACCTAATGTGTATCCACTGAAAAATTCAGTGGTTACACGTTTACACAAATACACGTTTTATCATCCCAGTGAATTCTGCAGAAAGAGAATTCACTGACTTTTGGCACAGTCTCTCGGTCAGATTGCTAGGCCACACAGCATTTCAAGAGACACCAAGAGGAGTTTCCTCAATTCATTTCTCTCTGGGAAATCAATACAGTTGTGGAACCAAGGCATAAGAGATCCTGTGGGATCAGGCCACTGTTACCCCAAAGGTCAGTATGTGTTTTGTTCTGTGACATGATGCCTTTATCAGTGGAGCTTTCTGTATCAGCCCTGGCAGGGGAAACAGGTATACCTGCATAGTCACTCCAGGATGTACGCACGCGTTTCTTAAACTTCTTAAAACCGAGGAACACCAAACAATTTTTTTTTAATGGGGAACACCAAGGATTTTTTGTTGAGCCCCCCTCTCTCCCCCCGAAAAAGGTCACCTGCCCCTTTAAGGGTGACCATTCTGTGTGCCATGGAACACAGTTTAAGAAACCCTGAGCACACTGTGAGGGGATAAGAACTCCTGGGCTACGTCTACACTGGCATGATTTTCCGAAAATGGTTTTAACGGAAAAGTTTTCCATTAAAAGCATTTTCGGAAAAGCACATCTAGATTTGCAGGATGCTTTTCCGCAAAAGACGCGGTTTTCCGCAAAAAAGCCCCGACCGCCGTTTTCGCGATCGGCGCTTTTTTGCGGAAAACACTACTGTGCTGTCTACACTGGCCCTTTTGTGCAAAAGTCCTTCAGAAGAAGACTTTTGCCCGAACGGGAGCACTATAGTATTTCCGGAAAAGCACTGACGATCTTACATAAGATTGTCAGTGCTTTTCCGGAAATTCAAGCGGCCAATGTAGACAGCTAACAAGTTTTTCCGCAAAAGCAGATGATTTTGCGGAAAAACTTTCCAGTCTAGACACAGCCCTGCTGTGCAGACAGATTCCTGATTTTAGGGTATGTCTAGACTACAGGGTTTTGTCGACAAAAGTAGCCTTTTGTCGACAAAACTATACCTGCATCTACACTACCGCCGAGTTCTGTCGACGTAACATCAACAGAACTCAGCAGTTTTGTCAACGGCGATAAACCTCATTCTACGAGGAATAATGCCTTTTGTCGACAGAATTCTGTCAACAGAAAGCATTATTGCATGTACACTGTCCTTTGCGTCTACACTCTCATGTTGACAAAGTGGCTTGCTTTGTCAACAGAACTGGATGTACTCTAGATGCTCTTTGTTGCCAGAAGCTTTGTCAACAGTATCTGTCAACAAAGCCTCTGTCAACAAAAGCCTATAGTCTAGACATACCCTTAGTGTCCAGTTAAATTCTCCTGCCAGGCTTTGCCCTTTTCCAGGGGTGAGCAGGAAGCACTCTCAAGAGACATGGAGTGGAGGAATGGAGACATGGAGTACAGGAATGGAGATAGACTCAGGACATTAGTTTGAGAAGCCTTTCACCCTTGTGTTAAAAAGAAGTCCAATCCTTCAGCTTCTGAAGAAGGTTTTCCGGTGTCCAGTGAAATCACAGCAAGATTAACAAGATGTAGAAGGGCAGCTCTACTATTCAAAACTGTGGGGCAGCAGAGGAATTTATGAGAATTATGTTATTTTAGGCTACTATTGCTTAGCTGCAGCTTGAGGAAAAGTTCTGGTACCACAAGCTTTGGAGCAAATACAATTCAAAGTGCCTTCCACCAACAGAAATACAAAAGGCAAAAGCTTTGAGATTGAGGAAAGGTTAGAATCATCTCCTACCCAACAATCAGGAGAACAAGGAGCAGCTCCCTGGCCAAGAGGAATCAGAGGGCTGAGGAAGAGAGGGAGCAAGGCTTCTCAAACTTCATTGCATTGTGACCCCCTTCTGACAACAATTATTAAATTATCCCAGAAAGGGGGGGGAAGAGAAGCCTGAGACAGCCAACCCCGACCACCCTGGGGGGTGAGGGCCAAAGCCAAGGGGCTTCAGCCCCAGGCAGGTGGCCTGTAACTTGAGCCCACTACCCAGCTTTTAGAAACAAGGCTGTGTTTATGCAGTGCTAGCCCTAAAAATCAGCATATGAGAATATACACAAAATAATTTTGCACCTAGAGCCCTCCTACTGACAAAGCACCATTAAAGCTGCACCAACCTTTTGTTTGTGGGGATGGGCCTGAAAGGGGGGGGGTGGCACTTGTGAACAACAAAAGTTTTGGCAATCCATTGCAAATGTGGCAACCCCATTAAAACAGGATTACAAACCTTCTTGGGGTCTTGATCCACAGCTTGAGAACCCCGATGTTAGAACCATGCTAAAAGTCACTGGGAAGGTGAAATTATCCCATTCCAATCCCTTGGTAAAACCACCACCCCTGAAACACTCCACCACAGGGAAAGGTGCAGAACTAAGGCGGACGTTTACCACGCAGAGCACCCCGCAAGCGCAGAGAGGGGCACCCCTGCAGCACGAGAGCAGGGCGGGGGCACAGATCTTCCCTCCCCGTTTGGACAGTGGAGTAGGAGAGGCTCCTGCCAGGGGGCAGAGGGGGGCCGAGCCCCCCTGCCCCCGGGGAAGGAGCCCAGCCTGGCAGTGCTCGCTGCGTAATCCCGGAAAAAGCTGGGACCGTAGGGAGACGGCCGGCAGCACGCGGAGAGATCGGGCCCACACGAGAGCAGGGCGGGGGCACAGATCTTCCCTCCCCGTTTGGACAGTGGAGTAGGAGAGGCTCCTGCCAGGGGGCAGAGGGGGGCCGAGCCCCCCTGCCCCCGGGGAAGGAGCCCAGCCTGGCAGTGCTCGCTGCGTAATCCCGGAAAAAGCTGGGACCGTAGGGAGACGGCCGGCAGCACGCGGAGAGATCGGGCCCACAAGCCCCGGGGCGGCCTCACCTGCGGG